GTATAAATTATTCATATCTGATAATATACTCAAAATTATAGTTGAATAGCTATGCCATACAATGTGGCTTTAGCACAAAAAGAAAGTACCAGCAACAGGCAAATTCATTACAATTAGTGAAGTGAAAATTTTTATAGGTGTATTATTATGAGAATAAAACCATTACTGGTTGGGAAATAATATGTACACCAATGCCACAAAGAATGGCAAGCAACGTGATTGGGGGGGGGTTATTATGATACCACTTGCAGAACCAAGGATCCCCTGAATAAATTTAGAAAAATCATGCTGCACATGGTGGCACAAACCTGTAATCTCAGCACTTAGGAGGCTGAGGCAGGAGGATTGCTGCAAGTTTGAGGCCAGCTTGGGCTACACAGTGAGTTTAAGACTAGCCTGGACTACACAGCAAAACTCTGTCTTAAAACAACAACAACAAAACCTAACTTAAAAAATCTCATGAAAGAAATTATTAGTATATTCAAGAATGCAGTCCCCCAGGGATTTAGCTCAGTGGTTCCGCCACCCGCCTCACAAGCGCAGGTCCCGAGTTTGATCCCTGGTACCAAAAAAAAAAAAAGGCAGTAAAATGGGAAAAATGCAATGATAGACAAAAGTATGACTTTATGGTGAGGATGGCTGCATTTTCATCAGTATTATCAGTAAAACAGCACAAATAAATGATAAAATTACGTAAATTATGTTTGCCTAATTACTCCTATGATTTACATGTCTATGCCACAGCATTCTGCTGTTTTGAAATTAATGAACCATTTACTTGACCATACATTATATGCAGATACATAGTCATCCCAGCATAAGAACTTTTACCAAAAAAAAAAAAAATGTATTTTACAGCACAGTACAGCCAAATCGAAAATTCTGACCTGTATAAGCAATGACAAAGCAAATATATGGCAAAGTCACAAACTGAAAATCCTTCTGATGTAAAATTTGTTAAACAGACAAATGAATCATTTGTATATTAGTGACTTGTAAAAATCATGCATGTACATTGATGAAGGAAAACCTGGAAACATAAAACCTGATCCTGTCTTTGATTACAAAGAAAGGGGCTGACTTAGCACACCAGATGCCACCCCATTACAGTTCCTTAAGATAAACACTGAAATGGCATTAAAAACTTGCAGGCCCCCAGTTTGCGGTGCGGCAGCTGTACATGCATATTATATACACCAACAATGGGGTACTCACAACATTTCCATTACTGATAGACCTGTGTAGACATGCCACTGGCGTAAATTACTCCAAAAAATCACTTTGTAGAAGCTTATTTGGGGAGGGTGAGAAACACACGCAAGCAACAAAGGGATTATTATAAAATTATGGGGAAAACTGGGTGCGGTGGAGGCCACAAAAAGGTCCTGTAGGCCTGGATTTAGCTCAGTGGTTCTGCCGCCTGCCTTGCAAGTGCAAGATCCCGAGTTAGATCCTCTGTAGGGGGGTCAGGTGCGTCAAGCTGTGTTGTGCACTCTTCACAAATCAGCTGCTGTCACATAGACAATGTTTTAAAGAAATTCAATACAAATAAATTTTTTCAATTTAATTTGATTAGTGTAGGAATTTTTCATTGGTATGAGTAGCACTGATCAATATTTATATCTGTGCAGTAGTTATCCGAGTTCAAGCAACACTGATAAAAGGGATTAGCTCCATCTATACCACCAGTGGCACACGCCGCGTGATGGGACAGTCACGCATGTGCAGCCACCCCCCTTCTAGCCATCAGGAACCTGTTAACACATTCGTGCATTTTCTCATAGCTCTGGAAGCTGGGAAGTCAAGATTCAGCTGTGATCGATTCAGCTTCTGGCCTGTAGACGGCCACCTTCTGGCTGCATCCTCACGTGGTAGAGAAAGTGACCTCTGGTCCCTCTTCGTCTTCCTAGAAGGGCATTAATCCCATCACAAGGTCCCATCCACACACCTTAATCTATATCTCATTAGTTCCCCAAATCCCATCTGACAGAGCTATCACATTGGGTCTTACGGCTTCGATTCTGGGTGTAGTGGAAGTGGGGGCAAGCATTCAATTCCTAACAAGTGGCAAATGTTACAAGGCCTGATTTTAGTATTCATTTTATCACTGATCACATGATATTGGAAAAGCAGCTTGGCAAATTAAGCCTGTCTCCTTACCAACAAAACAGGGGGTCAGACTAGATAATCTCCAAGTGATTTCTGGTTCTAAAACTGTGACTGCTATCTTGCAACCACTCGAACTAGAGAACAGTGCCTGAGCATGAAAATCCGGAATCCCAACACAAGGACTGTATGATGACGCTCCTATACCATAGTGCATGTGGTGATATGGGCTGGTACCTGCCAGTAGCACAATTCTTCAAGCACGGCATGTTTGTGTGTGTGTATGTGTACATACCAGGGATGGAACTCGGGACCTTGCACTTTCGAAGCAGGTTGTGAAACCACTGAGCTAAATCCCGGGCCCAGTAGCACAATTCTTTAATAAGTATAGCAGCTGATACAGGCTAGGGCAGGACTGCCCAATTCTCCTTGACTGCATGCTTACGAGTCCCCTTATTCCCAGGGATATGTGCAGTGCCTCAGTGAATATCAGAAACATAGTACCAAGCCCTCTATCACTGTGTTGTTTTCCTATACCTACCTATGATAAATTTAACTTACACATTAGGCAGAGAATGAGATTAAACTTAAAAATAGAATAATCATAACCACATACTAGTATAAGAAGACTTGTGAATTATTAAAATGTTTATTTCTAGAACACTTCATTTAATATTTTCAGACCATAGCTGACTGTGGGTAACTGAATCGAGACTATGGGTACCAAATAAAGAGAGAAGGTAGCACCCAACACATTTACTCTGTAAGTTTTAGTACAGCCATAAATATCATCAACCTAATAAAAAAAACAAAACTGCACCGTGTCAGGCTTTTCACCTGCTGACTGGTAACCACTGTCTCCTAACCCCCCACACACTCACACTCACACCATTCATTGATTATGGGGCCAGACAACTCTCCTGGAGCAGCCCTACTGTCATCCTTTGGTTATAAGCCCCCCTCCCCATTCTATTTCTTATAAAGCCAAACTTCCTCCATCCGGTTTACAAAGCCTTCTGTGTTTGGCGCCAGTCAACTTCTCCACCTGTTTCTATTACCCTTCAAAGACCTCGCAATCCAGTTAAAATAAACCACCCAAGAGCTCTTACAGCAGTGGTGGCGAACCTAAAGCACATGTACCGCAGCTGATTGTTATCATCGAAAGCTCTAAAAGGTTCACCACCACTTATAGCATATTTTTTAGAATAACAGTGAGCAATATCATTGAACATTGTAAAATTCAGAACACAGGTTCCTCATAGCACACAAACTAGGGTCTGTTCTTGCAACTGGTTAGCACAATTCCTTGAGCTGGCCTCTGTCTCTCATGCCTGTTCCCAACAGTCCACTACCCGAATTCTTCAAGTTAGCTCACACTGCAAGCGCTCAGGGCAGCTGTTTGATGAAGAACCAAGCATTAAGACCAGATCTCTCTCCCTCAGCACGCCGGACCTCGTATTTAACTTCACCTTACTCTTGTCTTCTCTGAGCAGCTACTGATTCCTAACCTTTCCTTTCTGTACTATCAGGAACTGAACGCAGGCAAACTAATCAGCAACAAGAACCACCTGATCGTTGACGACAACAATCAGTTTTTCTGGAAATACGCAGAGCTGGAAAACACGTGAGGCACCTCCACCTGGGAGAAAAGGCCCACCAGCCCGTGGTCAACAACCCCTTATGCAAACTGCTCCTGTATGAGCTTCCTGGCAAGACCATAATGACCATCAGGGCGGCAAGATCAGTGATCATCTTTCAACCTGGTAGCTCCTTGCTTAACCAAGTTCCTGCTCTGCTACCACCCTGTACCCTAACGGAGTGGTTTAGGTTAACAAATTCAAGTCTCTAAGCCATTCGAAGCAGCTTTCTGCCTCTCACAACTATAATTTCTCTTCCTCTTCGAACTCACATAGTATTTCTCTATACCTCTAGTGCTATGTGTCTGTTGCTGTGAGGAAATTCCTAAGGTAAAGAAGAAAAGGTTTATCGGGCTCACGGTTTCAGAGTCTGCCGTCGTGGTCATTCGGCTCCCTGAAGAGGCAGAACATCAGACCTCAGCGCAGGGGCCGAGCACAGCTGCTCCGAGAGAAAACAGAGAGGGACTGCGGTCCCAACATCCCCTGCCAGGGAACACCCCCACGGAATTAATTGCAAATAAGCCCCGCCCCTTAAAGGATTCACCACCTTCCCATAGATTGGCAACCCAGCCTTCGGTCTACAGGCATTTGGAAGATAGTTAAGATCCAAACCATAACACTTCTCTTAAGTAGCTTATAGCTTTCTACTTTGGGTTGAAAAGCTCTGGAAAAGCTGGGCACGGTGGCACATGCCAGTAATCTCTACACTCTGAGAGCCTGAGGTGAAGGATTCCAAGTTCGAGCCCAACCCAGGTAATTTAGCAACTAGGCAAAACCGCGCCTCAGAATAAAAATGAAAAAGGGAATCACTGTGAAGGCCTTGAGTTTAATCCCCCTTGTGGAGGCGGGAACTCTGGAAATACCAGTTTTGGTCCCACGGGACCACAAGTGACCCTAGAGGAAGTGACATCTTAAGTGGCACAGGGAACAGGGAACAGGCCCGTGAGGAGCCAAGTTCTCGGCTAGGCGTAGGAGCGCATACTCCAATCCATCTCCACTTCATGGTGCAGAAACGGGATTAGGGAAGTTAACTTCCTAGGATCACATCCGTGTCTTTCCAATCACATGCCTGGCCTCCTCCCCATGTACCACAATCCTGGCTCACTCGACAAACACTCTGAGGCCTAGGGTACATCAAAAACCAGACCTCAACAATCAGGACTAAACCAACTGCAGCACGCACGGCGCTATGCCAGAGCCCAGGCACACGTACGCCCCGCCCCTGCGTCTCGTGACGTCATCGCGCAGGACCGGGTTCGCGCGTCCACGTTCTTTAAATACCACCTTCCCTGCCGCTCCGGGGTGAGGATTGGGGCGGAGCGTGTGTGTTGTGGGGTCCGCGGCCGGGAGGGCGCCGCCGGAGAGCGCGAGGTGGGCGGAAGAACGGCGGAGAAGCGGCGGGAGGGCACGGCCCTAAGTGTGGGTGGGCAAACAGAGGGCTCGTGGCGGGGGCGGAAGGAGCATGGCGAGCTCTGCCTCCGGCGCCGGCTTCGCAGCCCCCTTCGCCTGTCGGGTCTCCTTTGCCGCCGCGGTCCCCTTGCCTAATCCAACCCCCACCCTCACCTCCCAGTCCCTTACAGGGTCGCAGTGGATTCGGTGGCCTGGGAGGGGCTAAGATTCCCGAATCTGTTACCCTTTCGCTAGCCACGTTGTCATCCCGCTCGGGGTGACAGATCGGCAAAAATCATGTAGCAAATCGTTGCTCCTGATGATAACTCCAGACAGTCCTGTGAATTGTCACTTTAGTTGCCTGGACGTGAGTCTCAGCCGGACGGTTCGTTCTCTTAGAAAGGTCTGAGTTCTTGATAGTCGGAGAACTTTTGCCATGCGTGGTGTGCAGAATGTGTCCCATAACAGTATGGTCGGGAAACAAGATTTTTAACAATAAGGGAGCAGGGAAGAGCTAAGACATACACCTCCTTGCCATCAAGTCCAGACTGTACTAAGAAAGACCCTTCTGGCCCAAGTTTAATGGAAACAGGCTCATCGTTGTTACTCAGCTACAGAGGACCTTGTTCCGTTCATCTGTGGGCAGCATTCCCTTCTAGGCTCACATTGCTTTGACAATAATCAGAGATTCTTTCTCACCTAAGCCAATCCCTTGATTTTGATTGTGATCTTTTGATTTTCCTGGGTTGAAAGTACGTGCTGGAGGGATCCTGCCTATCTTGAAGCCTTTGCTGCCAGGCAACAGAATTGTGTGCTACAGAAATCTAGGAAGATGAGCTCCTGTATATCCATGAGTGAACCAAAGCTAAACTGGTAAGTTCTATCTCTTCCTAATCCGTTGAAGGGGAGTGAGTCTGGGCTGGTGGTTGATATAGGAAAAGATAGCTCCTGGCCCAGAAAGATTTGCAAGAAATGGAAAATAAAATTTGTGGTCTTGGAATTTACTCTCTTCTCATCTTCACATACTGAACACTTCTGATTTATGATTTCATCATGTGTATGTCATTGGTCTCTTCTGGAAGGGAAATGCTGGGATTTTCTTGTACCTAAAACCTTTGCCTAATTCCATACAAATAATAAAAGAGGTAGGGCCTCTTTAAAATTAGACACGCTTCTTTCTCTTATGTTACAGTCAATATCAAATGATAATATAAATGTGTAGATTGTATTCTGTATTTTAGAAGTGCGTGAGAGCTTCTCAAATGGCGAAACCAGTTAAGTAATGTGGTTTTGCAGCCATGTAACTAATGCATGCTTCTTCTTTAGGTCATTTTAACATATGTTTACTGAGTCAGCCAAGGATGATACAAAGGTTGCACAGAGGTTACAAAGATTTTTTAAATAGTACCTGACTCAGAGATTATTAAATCATTATGTGCAATAATAACCTATTTATTGCAAAAACACTCTTATTCCCAAAGGAGCCCACAATCCCTTAGGTCTTTGACTTTGTTTTACAGTAAGTGGAAATCTTAGAATTCATTGAGATATTACACATGCAGTACCTTAACAACATAATAAACTTTAAGCCGGGCAGAATGGTGCGTGCCTATAATCCCAGCTTTTCTAGAAACTGAGGCAAGAGGATCACAGGTTCAAGGTCAGCTTGAATAAATTGGTGAAACCATGTCTCAAGAAAAGTACGGGACAACTGGGCATGGTGATGCACACCTGTAATCCCAGCATTGTGAATGCTGAGGCAGGAGGATCACCATGAGTTCGAGGCCAGCATCGGCCACATAGTAAGGTCCTGGCCAGCCTGAACTACGTAGTGAGACCCTACCTCAAAAAAAAAAAAAAAGAAGAAAAGAAAAGCACAGGAGGTAGCTCAGTGACAGAGTGCATGCCTAGCCCAAAGCCTTTGGTTTAATCTCCAGGGTCACAGCAAAACAGAGGGAAGGGAAGGGAAAAGAAGGGTTTAGCCTGGTCCATAGCAAACAAATTGTAATTTTACCATTAATACCCTAATCATAGCAAACACTCATAAAAGCATTAATAATTAATTAAACAGCAAGCATTCTAAAATTTCCCATTTGGGTACTGCATCAGCCAGAAGTTATATTTGATTAGAGCATTCTATTGTAGGTTTTAAGAGTTTTCCTTGCCAGGATTGTAAAGTATGTGTCCAGATGTTGAGCACATTTTTCTTACACATGTACCACTGGCATTGTGAAACCAAATGTGGTGTAAAATCTTTGCACATGATCGTAACCTTTGAAAGAAACTATGGTTTCTCACATAGTTCCACTAACTGTTGTCCTTCCTACATTAATGATTCTCAAGGTTTTCAATTTTTTAGTTCCTTTATTCAGCCAGCATCTGGGGGATACTTAACTACAGTACACGGAAAGCATTGGCTGTAGGATGTTAATCTTGATTAATTCTGGACTTACGAAAAATCATACATCACTTCACAGATGATTTTAGCAAAGGCACCCCTTTGTCCCATTTGCCAAGTTAACAAAGATAAGTAGGATATTCAGTGTTTTGGTCTGGTATAATAGTTCTTGAAAAAAAAAAAAGAAGCACATTCTTTTTACCAAAGATCCTAATGTTATGCCCCACAGCCAGAGATGAGCCTTCCTCTCTCAAAGACTTAATTGTTCTATCTTTAATCCTTGAGTCTCTCTGACGTTTATGTAATTGGGTGCTACAAGAAAAGCAAGAGTGATTGTAGGAGCTAGAAAGTTTCATAAGTGGCCTGAGCTTACTGCTGCCTGAGAAAGCATCCAGGTTCACAGATCTGGTTCATGAAATTAAACACATTAAGACGTAGTTGTCTAGCAAAAGGGGGTAAAGGGCATGGAGTCATAATTTACAATTGTACCGTTATGCTTCTGGTCTAGTGTGAAATTTTGAATTGTCAAATGCAAATAAATTACTTTATTTCACAGGGACATTTCCCCCAAAAATGGCCTGAAAACATTTTTCTCTCGAGAAAACTATAAAGAACATTCCATGGCTCCAACTTTAAAAGAATTATGTATTTTGTCTAACAGGTAATATGTTTATTCATGTGGCTCTTTATTTTCATATGTAATTATTTTTCTGGTGATTGCAATTTATATCTATCTTTACTATTCCACATTTAAATGAAAGAAAGTTTAAAAATAGAAAAAAAACTACTGTTAACACTTTATCTCTCTCCACACATGAGCAAAACCCTATACCCACATAAAATGGGATCATTCCCATTTTAAAATATTTATAAAACTCTTTTACAGTTTGCTTTTCCATTAAAATCAGTATTTTGTGTTTCTTTCCCTGCTTCTATACATATAGGTCAATTTTTTTTTTTTGTTTTTTTTTTTTTTTTTGGTCCCGGGGATCGAACTCAGGCCCTTGTGCTTGCGAGGCAGGCGCTGGAACCACTGAGCTAAATCCCCGGCCCGTATAGCTCAATCTTTTTTCCCCACTCTTCTTAGTAGGTATGTGTTATTTCATTATATAGAACTTTTACTTCATTTATGTAGTTCTATTTTGTAAAGTGTTTGTATTCCTTTTTGTAATTGTAAATAATATATTGGTGAGAATTTTTTTGTTTTTTTCAATTTAAAGATAAATTCATGGAGGGCCAGGGAATTAGTTCAACGGTTCCTCTGCCTGGGAATTAGTTCAGTGGGTTCTTGCAAGCCCAAGGTCCCAAGTTCGATCCCCAGTACCAAGAAAAAAAAAGATAAATTCATGGAAATTGAATTATTTAGCTGTATGATGTATGCCCTTTATATTTTGATAGATACTGCCAGATTGCCAAAGCTTTTTTTCCTCTCTGGGATGAAAATGACTATTTAGTGATAATTTTCACTTTAAAAGAATTATGTATTTTGTTAACCTCCCTATAGTAGCAGCTCTTTTCCTTTTGACTGACTTTATACTCCATTGCAGATTAATTGGCAAACCAGCAGTTGTAGACTTAGGGGGGAGTTCCACATTTCCGTTCATCCTTTGTTCTTTTACCAGGGAGGAAACCTATATCCCCATCTTTTCCTGCCTTCTCATTTTCCTCTCTGCCAGTTACCACCTCTTGTTCCTATATCTTTATTCTCTCCCATTTTCAGTCATCTTGATCAGTAGTTGAATATGTTCAGGTTTTCCTGTGTTAAATATTCCCTGAACTCCACATTCCACTGCAGACACCATCTCACGTCTTTCTTCATTTGTTCTTAGACTTCTTTAAAGACTTGTGTATGCTTACTGGGAGAAAATGAGCAAAAAAAGCTGTATGACCTATGGAAAACATTTAACAAAATAGTGAATCCTTCTCTATCAGTAATTACTTGAAGTAGAAGTGGATTTAACTTCCTAATCAAGAATCAGATTGACAGAATATAGTAAAAGAAGGATAAAAATCTTCATTCACTGCATAACCCATTGTGCTTGCTTTCCGCTGAGCATCCCACTCTAATGTAGTTTCCACCTCCACTGCAGCAATGAACCTGCTCCTCTCATGGGCCTCAGTGAGCTCTGGACTAGGAGCTGTCTCGCTCTTCTAGTTTTCTTCCTAGTATTCTGGTCATTGGTATTTCTCAGGTCTTTTGCCACCCTTACCTTCAGGCTTCTTGTCATGGCCAATCATCAGATTCCTTGAATATTTAAGAAACATTTATTTTGCACTTTTTTGTTTTGTTTTTTGGTATGGGGATTGAACTCAGGTCCCTGTGCTTGCGAGGCAGGTGGTGGAACCACTGAGCTAAATCCCCGGCTCTATTTTGCACTTTTAATACAACCTTTTAAATGTGAACTTCAAAGGATTAAAGTCGTATCTATGGAGTTCATTTAGCTTATAGTAGGTGCATATGTATCATACTGCACGCATACGGTAATATGCCCCATCTTTTTAATGCAAAGGAGCATCCTGTGTACAGTGGCCTATGCTGTACTGGCCTTAACCTGATGTATCATGGTAATGATATTGTTCTCTTAGCACATACAGTTTGACCTCATTCTTTTCAGTAGCTGTTTCATCTTCTATTGATGTATATAATTTTAAGTGACTTATTGATATTCATTTAGCTCCTTTCCATTCCCTTAAAATTGCAGTAAATAAGGCAAATTTTTGTAAGTGGAAGATAATGTGTGTATTTATTTTGATAAATGTTTCCAGATTGCTATTACAAACATTCATGAAGCAAGCACGTTTGAATGTCTTCACTATTGCCAGGTTTAGAAAATTGATAAACCTCTTTATGTATGTGCATCTGTGGATTTAAAAAATACTTCTGTGATTCAGCTTGTATCATTTCTTACTGACAATTTCATAAAATTTACCAGTTAAATAATTGCCTTTGTTTATTTTGATTCCAAAATGCCCATCAAACTGTAGTATCCTGGGATTTGCAAACCTACGTCTTTACCTTTTTTAAAAAATCCTCTTACCACTTTTGAACTTTTATCTCGCTTATATTTCAGACTAAAATATTTTGATACTGGTTTTGCTCATCCTTACACTGCTTCTTAAAAATGTTAATGGTTCTCTTCGGGTCCACTTCATTCAACTTAAGTTGAGTGTGGCTTATAGCCTCGCTTTGAACAAGGCAGAGGGCAAAGTGAGCATGCTGGTGTGTGCCTGTGATCCGTCATGCTGGCAGACTCTGGGCAACTCATCAGCTGAATCCCTGTCTCAGAATAAAGAAATAGAGCTCAGGATGGAGCTCAGTGCAAAAGCCTTGGACTCGATCCCCAGTACTACCAAAAAAAAAAAAGAAAACAAACAAAACGTAGGGAGTAGAGGACATTTGGCTGGTGTTTATGCCAAACTCCTGAGATATTTTATTCTCCCTTTAAAATCTGCTTATTTTTCTTTAGATTTCTATACAGCACAAAATAACTTACTGCGTAATTTACCTATACATATATATATAACATATATATGTATATGTATATGTATGTATTTATGTATTATGGAATTTTGATATATGTTTCTCGACTTTTTTTTCCTCTAGTCCTAAATTTTATTGAGTATTGTTATAGGAAGTGGTGGATTTTCAGACGCTACAACTAATTTACAGCTGTTTTTTTGGTGGAAATACCAGGAAGAGTATGAACTTTTTATTAGCCCTAATTTTTCATTTCATTTTATGTATTCTCTCACATGTTGGAAAATACTGACATTTTTAATCACACCACTTTTAACAGAAGCAGGCTTTTTTTCAACCCTTGTCCTGTCACAAAAAGGCTTTTACTCTTATTTTCCACCCCCCCGTTTTTTTGAGACAGGTACTTACTATGTAGCCCAGGCTGACCTTGAACTCATGGTGATCCTCCTGCTTCAGCCTCCTGATTGTTTTGTTTTTGAGACAGGGACTCACTGTGTAGTCTAGGCTGGCCTTGAACTCACTATGCAGCCCAGGCTAGCCTCAAACTTGTGATGATCCTTCTGCCTCAGCTTCCCAAGTGCTGAAATTATAGACATGCACCACCATGCCCAGCCAAAAAGGCTTTACTCTTAATTTCAACATAAAAAGCTTTCCTTTTACTCTCCATACTCCATATATGTTTATAAAATGAAAGAACCAATGGAATTGTATGTTTACATATGACTAATGTAGTAAGTTAATATGGTGTTTCCCGTCAAGCAGCAAAAATGAATTATGTTCACTATGAAATATTTGGAAAGGTTATGTAAGCAACTATCAGAATGCCCCATGAGCCACTTATATAGAAATAATCACTATAAACATTTGCCTTTTTTTTAAATTAAAGATTCTGGTTGCAGATATTTATAACTTGAGTTTTAAGCCAACAAGGAGAAAAGTAGTAGCTTTAAATAGAAAAAAGCTGAGTCTTTAACCCAGTCTTTATAGAAAAGTAAATCAAACTCAGGAAATACGGGTAGACTCCGAATGGAGGCCAGAATATTATTTCCAAATGGTACTTTTAAAGAAGCTGCCATACCAGCAGTCTTAAAGTACAGGAAGCTAACAATATTGGATTCTGCTTTTTTCATATAATCTTTCAATAAAATGAAGGAGAATGGGTAGTTAACAAAAGGAAGGGTGGAAACTTCAGACTATGAACTGAAATAAAATATAGTGCTGTAAATGGGGATAGAGAAACCCTGTAAGGTGCTTTTGGTTTACACCCTGATGAAGATTTTGACAGCACTGCGCTCGGAAATGATCTTGATGTGCTGCCATCTCATTCTTTGCTGAATGTAGCCAGTTTAACTGCTAGAGTTCCTTGACTTTCCTACTCCGGCATATCTGAGTCAGCACCTTGTTGTTGCAGCAGCTTAATTAAATTTGCCAGTTTGTGCCACAAGGACAGACATGTTCTCATATTCAGAGAGACAGCTGCGAAGCAGCATTGTTAAGAGTTGCAGATACAGTACCGTTAGGTTTGAATAGCTCTCAAGACATTTTCCGGTGAGAAATCAATTTGCTGTAATACATCTCTTCCAAGATCAGCAGTTGATATTCATTTTGTTAACCTGAAATGTGCTTATTTTTATACAGTTGTTGAAAAAACTCTAGTAGCTAAATATGCCTTCTTCTTTCACCTGCATTATTTTCAGAGCCAGTCTGACCATCCTAATTTTAATTTCCAAAATTCTTTTCCCATTAACTAACCAGCTCTTCTGATTAGTTTTTCATCTTGAGTATTTTGCTTTATTTTGGGGGAGTAAATATTTCTCTCATACTGTTTTCAAGTTTTGAAATTTTTACCATACTTGTTCTAGTCTTATAAAGTTGATTGAAACAAATCAGGGCTAATTTTGGATTGGGTGAACTCACCCTTTGTCTAGACACAGATCTAAATTCTTAATCCTCAACTTATCTGGTCAAAACCCTCCCACTTTTTATAAAAAATATGTATAAGAAATAAGACACTTCTATTAGCCTGAAATGAAATTAGTAGCTAATAATTACCACAGTCTTAATTTTTAAAATAATATATCTTAAATATATAAATGTGAAATAAAATGAAATGATGTATAATGTGTATTTGGTATGGAAATACGTAGATGCTACTACTAGGTGATATATAGCAGTTACAATAATAAGGTCAGGAGGATTGGAGTAATTCATTGGGAGAGTGCTTGGTATGTTTGTGCTCTTGCAGTTCAAAAAAAGGAGACTGCACTTAAGAGCAGTAAGATAAAATTAATACCATAAAAGAAATATAGACAAGGCCAGGGATTTAGCTCAGTGGCATCACACCTGCCTTGCAAGTGCATTGCCATGAGTTCGATCCCCAGTACAAAAAAATAAAGAGTCACAGACCATTTAAAAGTGAATAAAATGTAGGATTAGAATATACAACAACAGACCAGAATTATTTTAACAGTTGTGCAGGACAGTGTAGCACATAAGTATTTCTTATTAACCCTCTTCACTCATTTGCCTCAGCTGTACCTGCAGCTTCCACACTGCCCTAAAGAAGTAAGACCATTGTGATTAAGAATCACTGCTCTGTGTATTTCCCCTCCCTTCTCATTCTTCTTCTTTTTTTTTTCTGGTACCAGGATTGAACTTGGGTCCTTGCACTTGCAAAGCAGGCTCTGGAACCACTGAGCTAAATCCCCAGCCCTCTTTCTTCCTCTTAATCCCCAGTCACAATATCTTTAGGCTTCTTTTCCGTCATCTGCTTGGTATATTGAGTTTGAAAACCTAAGCTCCCCCTAGTCATATTTTATTGATATACATACTTAACTTTTATTTCGTCTCATTTACTTGCTAATCCACTGACTCTTAAAGTCCTGGAGAACAGAGTTTAGTGCGCTTAATGTTTGTTGTATCTCCAGTATCTAGCATAGGCTGGAACATATACATATCAGTAAATGTTAATGAATGGAGAAATGAAGAACGAATCGACAGATGTCCGTCTTTCTCATTAGGTTCCTCCCTTCCTCTCTGAGTTTGTGAAGCCAAATCATAGATATTGTGGCTATGGTAGAAATTATGGTTGTAGAGGCCAAGGAAATGTAGCTTTTGGTGGAATTTCAAATTATCTTACTGAAAATATAGAATATAGTAACTGATTAACCAGAATAAGGAGAGATGGTGATCAAGAGAGGACACTTTTGGTCAGATGCCTTTGTGGGGGTGGGGGTGATTTTTGAAAATTGGAGGTAACATTTCGTAAACAAATCTGGAAACAAGTTCTCTAGCCATCAGCTACTTTCCCTAGTGTGTTTCATTCTAGATACACCGGGATTTTTCTTTTGTGTCCATGAAAAGCATAGACATACCCATGCAAATAGCCATGTATTGGACAGCTTTTCTAAAACCACTGCTGCTTCCTTAAAATATGGTGCACAGTTGTTAGAATTTTCTTCTTAATTCTTGAGATAAACAGGAGACGAGAAAATTTTGCAGCTCTGTGAATTCATTAGCTTCACGTTTGTGACTGTTCCTGTTCTGCGTTGCTTTTGTTTTCATATTAACTGATATCCCTTACTGAAGAATTTATTTGTTAAAAAAAATACCATTGTATCAAATGTAAATGTGAATACAGTTGGCAAAAATGATTTTCCCCTCTTCAGTAAAGGGGGAAAAATTTCCAAATTAAATGAAAAGTGTAGCACATGTGCCTCTTCCTCTGCATCAGGTAGTTGAACGTAAGTTTGCAATACGGTCCTTTCCGGCAGAATACTTAATTACACTAAATGGTAAATATCAAAATGCAGGTGGCAGAGTTAGATAATAATCCAGAGTTTTCTCAGTTAATCACGCTATATTCTCCCTTGTGATTGAGAATCATGAAGTGCCATGATAGTAATCTTCGTGTGAAAAGCACATATTTGTAAATTGTATTTTTTTTTCCAGACATAGAGGGGAAAATTTGAATGCCTCAGCAAGTTCTGTAGAAAACGAGCCAGCAGTTAGTTCAGCATCTCAAGCAAAGGAAAATGTTAAAACCAGAGTTGGAATGGTTCTTCTTCCAAAACCAAGAGTGCCTTATCCTCGTTTCTCTCGTTTCTCACAGAGAGAGCAGAGGAGTTATGTGGACTTGTTGGTTAAATATGCAAAGATTCCTGCAAATTCCAAAGCTGTTGGAATAAATAAAAATGAATACTTACAGTACTTGGTATGTATTCTGTTCTTTGGCTTCAGCAAAAACACTAAACATCAGGAAATGTTTTAAATTTTCCCCTGTTATCTTAGTGGTGTATTGATAAAAATGGAAAAGTAAGACATTTAAGTGTGTGTGTCTCCAGTTCATCTCAAGTATTAATGATAGAACTTTTATACAGCTTATTGTGAAACTATTGTCATTGCTTAATTATACCTTAATATTCAGTTGTATAAATGATGCAGCGCTGACATCTTTTTAGCAAAATCGTCATTCATATCTATTATTGTTTCCTTAAGATAAATTCTTAAAAATAAAAATTCCGGATCACAGTTTGCTTATTTATACAGCTTTGATCTACAGTTACACATGGGTACATTTTTCTGTCAAAAGTTTGAACCAGTTTACTTGAACCACAATTGTATGAAAGTTTTCCTTAAAGCTACCTTAAAGCTATTTTTACTAATACGGTACATCACCCTTTTTTTGGTTTTGTTTTGTTTTGCTTTTTGTTTTTTGAGACAGGGTCTCACTATGTAGTTAAGGCTGACCTGGAACTCACTATGTAGCAACAATCCTCCTGCCTCAGCCTCCCAAGTGCTGGGATTACAAAGCATGTGTCACCACGCCCAGCAGACATCACCTTTTTTGCCTCTAACCAGACATGAGGAAGATTGTGATTTCTTATTTTACCTTAATTGATAGTGATTACTAATTAAAATTAGTAAATTTAATTAATTAAAATTAATTAAAAAGCATTTCCCGTATCTGTGAATTATTTTTATTTCTTTTTTGCTTTACCTATTCATATTGTTGGCTCATTTTTCTACTGTTTTTAAATAAAATGTTTAATTCCTAAGTGTGCACTAGTCATTTGCTTTTCTGTTTTTATAGAATATTTTTTTTCTTTTTATTTTCTTTTTGTGCTGGAGATTAAACGTAGGGCCTCATGCATGCTAAGCTCATGCTGTACCACTAAGCTACAGTCCTAAGCCTTAGAGTTTTTAATAACATGTTTACTGGGGCCAGGGATTTAGCTCAGTGGTTCTGCTGCCTGCCTTGCAGGCTCAAGGATCCAAGTTCAATCCCTGGTACAAAAAATTTTTTAAAAATTTAAAAGTAACATGTTTATTCTTATTATTATAATCTTTGTTAACTTTTTCTTTGTGTTTTTTGCTTTGGATTTGGTTCTATAATTATTAAGTTCAAATTATTAGAGCAGTGATTGAGAAGTGTTTCTAATGAACTGTTTTATTCCAAGACATGTCTACTTTTTTAAAAATCAGGATATGAAAAAACATGTGAATGAAGAAGTTTCTGAATTCCTAAAGTTTTTGCAAAATTCTGCAAAGAAATGTGCACAGGATTATAATATGCTGTCTTACGATGCCCATCTCCTCACAGAGGTAAAAAAAAAAAAATTACATTTGTGCAAACTGCCAAGTGATAGACAGTAGGAGCTTCTGACATGTGTGATGATCCTGCCAAAAGCCTGGGGAACTGACCATATTATCAATTTTGAGGACGAGTTATGTGTAGGCCTTTTATTCTTGTACTGTAATAGTAGAAATACTGGCATCTCAAAATTGTGAACTTTAGTACAGTCACGTGCATGATACTTGTATTTTTAATGATTCACCTCCATAGAGTAGTCCACAGAGAATGCATTCTGAGACCCTCTGACTGCCTGAAGGTGCATATAATTACATGCACTTGTCCTGTCCATACATACATACATATGATAATGTTTAATTTGTAAATTAGGCACAGTAAGAGTTTAACAACAATAATAAAACAGTACGGTTACAACGGTTACAGGGATATGGTGTCATTCTCTGAAAACATCTTACTGTGCGTTCCTCTCCGTGCTGTGATAGTGTGAGATGATCCACCTGTGTGATGCGAGGAACTGAGGTGACAGATGTAGGCGATTTGGTAACTTTCCAGGCTGCTACTGTCTTGCTTGTACTTGAGTGCAACTGCTGCCGTACCATTGGCAGTTGATCTGGTAACTGAGGTGGCCGTTAAGTGATGTGCTGGACAGAAGGTGACTTACTGAACAGGGTAGAGCTTGGGATTTTGATCACACTCTCAAAACGATGCATAATTTAAAACATGAACCGCTTATTACGGAAATTTCCCACGTAATATTTTCAGACCCCAGTTGACAGCAGGTAATTGAAACTGTAGAAAATAAAACCACAGCTGAAGGGGACTATTGTACTGTGCATGATGTGTACAAGAGTAAAATGCCCTGGTGTTTCTTTGACTCTTTCTTTTGCCATACAGAATTAAGTGAGATTCTGTTAAGAGCACTGCAGCATCAGCAGTTTTACCAAGAATAATGTGCCAGAAAAATATCTAATCAGAATAGTCTAGGGCCAGGGATTTAGCTCAGTGGTTCTGCCGTCTGCCTTGCAAGCACAAGGACCCGAGTTTGATCCCTGGTACCAAAAAAAAGAATAGTCTTCATGTCACATAGTTATTTTGTATTGCTTTTCTTTATGTGTTCAGGTTCTTGAAATGATTGCCATACAAGGGGACCGCAAGAGGGAAAAATTAGGTAGTTTTGTAAATATGGAGCAAAAACATAGTGCAAACACAGGTTTTTGGTTGAGTAAGGTTTTAAAACACAACTTTTCTATATTAACCAATGTCAACATTAGTTGTGAGTAATACCCTCAATTAATTATCAAGATTAGCGTTGAAATATGTGGACACAGGGGGAAAATGATACAGGTAGCAGGGGGCGCGGATTAGAAAAGGGGAAGGAAGGATATGAAACTATAGATGAAAAGATATGTCTGCATATTATTAAGATGTTTATTGTTGAAAACTTTTGTGACCTAGAATATGTTCTAAGAGGTTAAGATAACATTAACTGACAGAAGAAAAAGTGTGTATCTTAGAAGACAGTATATGGGTGCGTTTAATTATAAACACGTTCCCTCACCAGTGCCTATGCCTCTGTGAGTTATTTACATGCTGTCACATGTGATGTATGTTCTTTTTGGGTAGCTGTGGGTATTCCTTCCTTCCTGATTATGTTTCTTAATAAGTCATTGATAATTGGAAAACTGGAGAGAAGGGAATGCTAAGTGCTCCATTGTTTGATTTATAACATTCTCATTTATTTTTTAGATTATAAATTCAAAATCTGTAAGATAACTACTTCATTAATTCACTGTGCTTGGGAATCATTTTAGAGTATTAAACTTATTTATTTCTAATCATTCATGTAATTGCTTTTATTGGAGTATATTATTTTGAAATTTCATGTGGCTTTATTTCTTTGACAGTTTCTTAAATAGCAAAGAAAATATGTGTCTTCTCTATTGAATTTTAAAATTTAATAAGATTGCTAATTTTAGTATTATTAAATATCGGTATTTTAGGAAATTAGGTTAAAAATTTGTTACGAAAAATAAAAGATTAAATCAAATAAGGAATATACACTGTGCCTGAATTAAGCCTGATTAATGCAACAGTTAACTTTTTCAATGAATAATTACATAGTCCCATGTGACTAAAATATTTTTGTTGCATTGTTAGAGAACTACAATACAAATGTGATTTTTCTTGATTTTTATTTTTTAGCAAATTTTAAAAGCTTGTGTTGAACAAGTGAAAAAGTATCCAGAATTTTATACTCTTCATGAAGTCACCAGCTTAATGGGGTTCTTTCCATTCAGAACAGAGGAAGGATTAAAATTAGAAAAAACGCTTCTTGCACTGGTAAGGTTTATAATATGAAATGTAAGCTTTTGTTGGTCTGAAACATCATCTGTATTTTATATAGTTACTGTTGGGGTGGGGGTGTTGAGACAAGGTCTCACTGTGTAGTCCAGGCTGGCCTCGAACTTGCAGCAATCCTGCTGCCTCAGCCTCCTGAGCACTGGGGTTACAGGCGTACGCTACCACACTCAGCTTCATACAGATACTATTTTATGTTTAAATTTTTGAGCAATTAATGAGATGGCTTTGAATACACTGCACAAATCTGTATCCCAGTTTTATGGATACAAAGATTTAACCTTTTAAAAATAACACCACTATTTCTTGATATTCTTCCCATCTTCCTTGATGTTCCTGAATAGAAATAGGAAGCCCTCTTTCTGAAAAGGAAATGTGATCACAAACATTGAAATCAGTACATGTAGAGATTATTTTAGGGGTTCCATTATTCCCTGCTGAGATTTATGCTTCATAAAAAGAGAAGATAGAATTTAAGAGGTCCAGGAAATTTCCATGAAACTCCTCTCTTAGACCTTTAAAAAAACAAAACAAAAAAATTTGGTGTGGCCAAGCAAAAATGTGAATGAGCATCTTTGCTTACGGATGTTCTAAATTTGACCTTTGTATTTAGTAGAATAATAAATTTTACTTAAGAATGCCTATGAAGAGAGATTGTTTTTTTAGGAGAAAAATGTCAAGATTTTTGTAATAATATTCACTTTTTGCTTGTGTAGGGCAGTGTACAATTTGTGAAAACAGTATTCCCCTCGATGCCTGCAGTATTGAAGCTCTCAAAAAGTAACATGCCCCCTTTGGAGACCCCAGGACAAATGGCTCAAGCTATGCACTATGTGAGTAGCGTGGTGGTTTGAGTCTTTCTGAATATCTGTACCTCAAAAAAATATACCCAATAGTTCTAGAGTCCCCTTTCTCCCTTTTTTTCCATACCTTACCAAAGAAATTTTCAGCGACTATAACCAAGTAACAATTCATACATTGTTTTTCAGGATATTAATAAAGATCCAAATGCAGAGAAGCTTGTTTCAAGATACCATCCTCAGATAGCTCTGACCAGCCAGTCACTATTTACCCTATTAAATAATCATGGACCAGACTACAAGGAACAATGGGAAATTCCAGTCTGTGTTGAAGTTATACCTGTCGCAGGTTTGTGATTTACTGTATCAAATAATGCTCTTAAAAAAAGTGTTGGGTCTGGGCATGTTGGTGCATACCAATAATCCTGGCACTACAGGAAGCTGAGACAGGAGGAAGATCACAAATTTGAGCCCCTACCTGGTCAATTTAGCAAGACTCCATCTCAAAATGAGACAGAGAGAGGGAGAGGGAAAAAAAGGAAGGAGGTTGGGAAGTTAAGTGGAGTTAAGTGGGCAGGTGGTGTAGTGTGAAAGCCCCAGGTTCAATCTCCAGTACCACCACCAAAAAAAAAAGGAAGCACGTCAACTATCTAAATACAAAATACAATTTTGTCTAAATACAAAAATCTAAGTCCTGGTTTAGGTAAATTTAAACTCAACTTTAGGCCATGTGGTGGAGCACGCCTGTAATCCCAGCTCTTTGGAGGCTAAGGCAGGAGAATCACAGTGAGTTCGAGACCAGACTGAGCTACATAGTCAATTCAAGGCCAGCCTGAACCACAGACCTTGTCTCAAAAACAAAACAATTTTTTCAAATACAAATCTGCTACAGTACCAGGTCTGCCATACATGTGGTACCTTACCATGGTACCTTAGGAAGTGAGAGATAAGACAGAATTGTGATTTAGGCCAGAAGTCACAATAGTGAGGTGCTTCTGTCTTTCTCTGAAATGAAGGAATGTAGTAATTTATTAGATAGCTTCAAATAGTTCAGTTCCAGGAGTTATTTGCTTGTCTGTTGTCATTGGAAATCAAAGTTAAAATACATCTGTGCTAATCTGTCTTTCAGAATTAATTTTTTTTTTTTTTTTTTTTTTTTTTTTTGGTGGTACCAGGGATTGAACTCAGGACCTTGCACTTGCAAGGCAGGAGCAGTGCAACTGAGCTAAATCCCCCGCCTAGAATTAATATTATTAAGTTTAACAATATAAGTACAATAAGCAGTTTTTATCTACCGAGATAAACTTACAGTTTAGAGTTAAGTGTACTGTATAAACTGAGTAATAATGACAGTAAGAGTACAACAAAGCAAACCGGAAGCCAGGTGTGGTGGGACATGCTTGTTATCCCAGCAGTCAAGAGGCTGAGGCAGGAGGATTACTGTGAGTTCGAAGCCAACCTACTCTACAAAGTGAGATCCTGTCTCAGAAAAATCACAAAAGAAAAGAAAGAAAAGGAAACCAGAAAGTAACTTTAAACATTGTTAGAAAGCAGTTCTCTTGCCAGTTTTGTTCTCTTGTCCTCCATAGAAATTTAGCATTTAAACTCACAACTTTTTCAAATAAAACTCTTCTACTGAACTGACTTTAAACGATTTTAAAGGACTTTTAAATCTTCTGGTCCAAGAGTGGCCCTTGCTGGCCCTGTCTTCTTGTATCCTGCTCCTTCTGTCATGCATCCATGTTTTATAAGAAATAAAACAACTAGGTACTAATCATCCCTGTGTTCTGTTTCTTTTTTAAGGCTCCAAACCAATTAAAGTAATTTATATTAATTCCCCACTTCCTCAGAAGAAACTGACAATGAGAGACAGAAATCAACTCTTCCATGAAATTCCATTAAAATGTATGATGTCCAAAAATACATCTGTTCCAGTTTCTGCAGTATTTATGGACAGACCCGAAGAGTACACATCTGAAATGGACGTATGTAATGTTTTTTTTTTTCTTTTTCTTTAGAGGAATGAACTTGTTTATCATTTGGAAATATATTTTATTACAGGCCTTTAAGCTTAGTAGTTAAAATATAGTCTTCAGCTTGTACATGCATTGAAAGATTACATGGCACACCATTAGTATATACAGTTTTCATGATTTCGTGTATCACTTAAAACCACAATGAGACATCATCTCTCCTCATTTGGGATGGATGTAATCAAAAGGGTAAAAAAATGACAGGTCTGGGAATTTAGCTCAGTGGTTCTGCTGCCTGCCTTGCAAGCACAAGGTCCTGCGTTCGATCCCTAGTACCAAAAACAAAACAAAACAAAACAAAAAACCAAAAACAGAAATGACAAATACTGTTAAGGATATAGAGAAAGAAGAAGCCTTATGTGCTGGTGGAAATGTAAATTAGTACAACCACTCCAGAAAACAGTACATAGGCTCCTCAGGAAAATTATAATAGAACTAACATATGATCCAGTCCCATTTCTGAATATGAATGTGTGTGTGCGCGCGCGCATATCAAAAGAAATGAAAGTACTGGCATTTTCATGCAGTACTCTTCACAATTGCCCAGATACAAACCCAACTTGGATGTCCACTCATGGATAAGTGTCTAAAAAATGTGTGTATAAACAATTGGAATACTGTCCAGCCTCTAAAGAGGAGGAGCTCTGGTCATTTGCAGCAACACAGATGAACCTGGAGATCATATAGTTAAGTAAAATAAGCCAGGCACAGAATGACAAATATTACATGCTTTTACTTATATGTTGGATCTAGAAAAGCTGAGCTCCTAGAAGTAGAAAACAGAATACTGGTTACCAGAGGCTGAAGAGGGCTGGGGAGAGATTGGGTAGCAGGTGCAAATTCAGCCGGTTAAGAAGAAGTTCTCATATTACTCTGTTACACAGAAGGGATTATAGTTAGTAACATTTTCTTAATTCAGCATAAGCAGAAGAAAGAGTTTGAATAATTTCCCTTCAGAAAGCCCTAATAACTGTCTGAGATGATGGATGAGCCGTTTCTCCTTAGTTGGTCAGTACATCATGTATAGAAATGTACCAAAACATTGCTCTGTACCAATAAAGATGAACACTTAGTAGCTGTCCAGTAAAAACAACACCTTTCTTTGTGGAAATTATGTAAAATTTTATATGCAGAGCATTCATTCAGACAAATTTAAAATCTCATAACAAGTTGGTCATTGATTTCCACATCAGACAAAATAGATACTATAAGGCTGATCAAAGAACACGTATGTTTAAATGTATGTGTTAAATTAAAACTTATTCCAGTAAAAGGCATATTGCTATTAATCCTCCTCAAAATCCTCCCCCTTGTTTCAAACACATTTATCCCATTCTTATTGCCACTTTCCAAAGCAGTTCTGGACGTTCTCTTTTGTCAGTGTCTTTACAAGTAGGACCAAAGCTATAATGAGTGCTGCTGCTGTGTACCATCCAAGAGAGACGCAAGGTGGTAAAATCACTGCATTGTGTCCTCATCCGCCTTAGTCACCAGATCGGGCACAGTGCAGCATCCGGCTCTTCCCTAAAGTCGAAATGAACATGAAAGGTAAATGTTTTGAATTGATTCAGAACATCGAGGCAACCTGGACAGCACAACTAAAGACACTGGCGAAAGAGGACCTCCAGGGTGGGGGATTTAGCTCAGTGGCGCTGTTCCTGCCTTCCAAGCGCAAGGTCCTGAGTTCGATCCCTGCTACAGAAAAAAAGGAGAACTTCCAGGGCTGCTTCAGGTGGTAACAGGAACAAAGGAATAAGAGGAGTATTAATACTTGTACTGTAATTAATTTTTAATTTAAACATTCACCACCGTAGTTTGCAACTGTACCTCATATTCCTAAATAAATTAAAGCTGTGTGTAGTTTTTCCATTACCAAAAAGACCATGAGCTCTGTATGTCATGTCCCAGTGTACAATACAACATGGCCTGTCAGTGTCTGTATCATCGGATGTCTCTCAGGTTTGTTTTCCCTAGGCAGATAAGGAGTCCCTGCTCAAAGGCATTTCTCTGGCTGCAGTAGAAAGCAGCTTCCTCCCAGCAGCAAAAAGGCTTTCCTCCTGGTCAGTAAAACCAACTGTCTCTGCAAGAGTGTACAGGTGGCCGGGCGTGGTGGTGCACGCAAATAATCCCAGCACTTGGGAGGCCTAGGCAGGAGGATTGCTGTGAGTTTGAGACCAGCCTGGGCTACATAGTGAGTTCCAATTTAGTCTCAACTACACAGTGAGACCCTGTCTCAAAAAAAACAAAAAAAAAATGTACAGGTGGACAGAAATGAAGATCCACTGCCTTCCTGTGTAGCCCTACATTTCTTCTTGGCTATGTGTCTTTTCACTATATAAATTCCTCTTTGATATGGTAGGTCACAATTTACTATTTCTTATGCTGTTACAACTTGGAAATTTTGTGTTTTCATGAACATTTCAATAAGAAAGTGAGGTTAAATGGTTGCTAGTGGTTGTCATTTTAAGCAAAAACCTTCCAGAGCCATTACACTTTCCTTTCTGCTTTTAAAAACATGAACTAACCACGTGAGGGAAAGGAGGGACATTAAGAGGTGAGGCATGCCCTTAAATTTTGACTAATAATTTACCAGTATATTTTCTTCCAAGACATCCAGTGAAGTTAATGAGTACCGAAAAATTGAGACTCTTGAAAATTTGGATCTGGATTTTGATGATGATGTCACAGAACTTGAAACTTTTGGAGTAACCGCTACAGAACCATCGAAGTCACCCAGCCCATCAAGTACTTGCCCATTACCCATCGTGACACATACACTCCCAGCCCCCAAGGTAGCTGCTACCCCTGTGGCACCACCTCTAGGAGATCCCTCTGCTGATTCCAGAAGCTTATCTCGGATTCTGATGGAACAGTTACAGAAGGAGAAACAGCTGGTCATCAGTATGGAAAGTGGCCCTGAAGAGTGCAGAAATAAAGATGATCAGGGACTTGGACCACATAGTGAAAAAGTATCCAGTTCCAACAAGTCTGTGATGCAGGATAATGACTTAAAGACATCTGATGCCTTACAGTTGGAAGGTTCTAAGGAAATTCACAAATCTGATGCAAATGATGTGGCTACCGATGTGTTATGTGCTGATGAGGAACGGCTGAATGTCCTAGAGAACAGAGACAGTTCCAAGGAAAAGCCTGCCGCACCAGAAACAGCTGGAACTGAAAGCGTAATTCCTTGCGGTAGTGACACGGATGAGGATTGTTTAATCATTGATACAGAGTGTAAAAACAATAGTGATGGAAAGACAGCTGTTTTGGCTTCTGATTTAAGTTCTAGACCAGCGAGTCCAAATTCTTCCTCAGGGAAGGGTTCCATAGGAAGCCAGAGTAGTACTACTCACAATCCTGAAGAATTGTGTGTTTTAAAAAAACCTATCAAACGAGTATATACAAAATTTGATCCAGTTGGACAAATTTTAAAAATGCAGACTGAACTCTTAAAGCCAATTTCCAGAAAAGAACCTGAATTGCTCTTAATGAATTTAGAAAATGCTAAGCAGCCACCTGTTTCCGAGCAACCTCCTGCTCCTCTGCATGCTGCTCGTTGGCCAAAATCTGGGTGGCCTTCTGCATTTCAGAAGCCAAAAGGACGTAAGTATTTACAAAGCATTTCTACTGTTTTTATCTGTTTCTTTTTCTTAGCTTTTTCCTCCCTCATTCATTATTATAACCGATTTTATAATCATTAATTGCTCACTAAAATTTCATTTTCCTAACGCTTAGTGTTTCGGCTTCCAGAATTTCCTCTATAACCCAAAGGTTTATTTGTAACCTGTGTTTATCCAGGATGTACAGTGGCTGCTGAGCTAAGAATAATGTAGTTAGTTTGCCAAACTAGTAAAAGAGGAAGTGCGTCATCCTAATGATAAACATTGATTAATCCAAAATTGACTTGGACTGCATGTTGGACTGCCTTTTGCACTTTTCAAGTCTGCCGAGATTGGGAATAAAATTTCCTTTTAAACACCTTTTTCTTCTCACATGCTATGCTGGCTCCTAATTATGCTTTGCCAAGCATTAAGGAAGGTACTGACTAAAGGAAGAAAACCTTAAAGCTTCAGCCTCACCTCTTCACTGCAGCCCCAGTGAAAGTAAACAGAAGTGGGGTGAGCATTAGAAAGTAGGTAAAAGAAGTAGGAAGCTTTTTTAAAGTTTAAAAAAATAGTTAATTGAATTGTTTTATCCTGTATTATGATGGAAAAAGATTGATGCCTTTTAAAGTAAAAACGAGAAATTATTTTTAAAGGATTGCCATATGAACTTCAAGACTATGTTGAAGATACATCAGAATATCTAGCTCCTAAAGAAGGAAATTTTGTCTATAAGTTGTTCAGCCTGCAAGACCTGTTGTTACTCGTGCGTTGCAGTGTCCAGAGGATCGAGACAAGACCACGTTCTAAAAAACGGAAGAAAATCAGAAGAGTAAGTTGTTACCTGGGGAGCTAAGATGTGGTGACATAAGTTTATTAGGTTGTCAATCACTCTTACATTTCCAATTTAAATATTTCTAGGAAAATGTTGAGATCGATTTTAAGAGAAAGTGTTTAATTATGTGTGTCTTAAATGCCATTAAATCTTCTCATGCGCCCTACAAACTTTATGAAAAACTGCACCATGGTCAATTTTACCTTGATTACCCCAGAATTTTGGTGTCCATTATGATGTTTGAGCCCCTTTTTCTCAGTCTCTGGGGCTCTTCTTGTTTTAGAAGTACAAACTTTTTGGGTTTTTTGGGGGTTTTTTTGTGACAGGGTCTCAGTATGTAGTTGAGACTGACCTGGAACTCATTATATAGCCCAGGCTGGTCTCGAACTTGCAGCGATCCTCCTGCCCTAAGCCTCCCCAGTGCTGGGATTACCAGTGTGCGCCACCACGCCCAGCTAGTACAAGCTTTGAAAGATGGGCTTTTATAAACATTGAAGTGTTTACAGGGTTTACAGGGTTGTTAGAGATCAGATCTTTTAATTTTGTTTCTTTTGGGATTTGGCTATAATTTTAGTCATTGCTTCTTTCAGCAGTTTTCCATATTGCATTTTATATTTGAAGTTCTCTTTCAGAGTAGTTTACATTTTTGTATATGACTACTCAATTCTGAGAAAGTAAAACTTCAGTATTAGAAATGATTTTGTAAGAAGTATTGAGGTGTCTGTGCATTTTACTTAAGAGGGTTCTTCTGTTGTGTATGTTTGTCATAGTGCACTTTTTTTTTTTAAGTTTTAGTGTATATCCAAAACCCCTTCCCTAAAAGAATCATAATTGACCACTTAGGAATGTTTTGGGATGAGATCAAGTGGATCAGGAGTAGTGATGGTCCGGGACTCCCTGACTACTGTAATGGAGTAAAGAATAACTGCAAGGCCAGGGGATTTAGCTCAGTGGTTCTGCCACCTGCCTCGCAAGCACAAGGTCCGGAGTTCGATCCCCAGTACGAAAAACAAAGAAACAAAATAACTGCTACCCTTAGCCTATTGCTTGTTACAGCATCCTGAGGGAATGGCTGCTGTGCAGAACTCCAAGGCTAACCCATCTGCAGCCAGGGCGTGTGTTGTGGCCATCGGACTCCAGTGAGTTTGGTGGAGTTTTTGCTTTATAATATTTTTATCCTTTGTTAAGTAGAAGGAACATTGACTAAAACCTAAGTTTTAATTACTAAAATCCTAATTCTCATAATTCATTTTTCATCATGAACTCAAACTTGAAATTCTAGAAACCAAATGATTTTGAATCAAATATATGGAGGAGTGCTTTTATTACGGTACAGGGGATCGAACTCCGGTCCTTGAGTGTGCAAGGCACACGGTGGAACCACTGAACTAAATCCCTGTGCCTATAGATTGTATTTTTAAGCTTTTATTATAATTTTTGCTGTTTCTTCCTTCATTTTATTTTTCTTTTTTGAAGCAAGGTCTCCCTACGTAGTTCAGGCCAGCCTTCAACTCACTGTGTAGTCTTGGCTGTCCTTGAACTCACAGTGATCCTCCTGCCTCAGCCTCACAAGTGCTGGGATTACAGGCATTCAACACCACACCCAAGGACCTCATCTCTTTATTTCTCACCCTGTGAACCTGTGCCGCTTTGTATTTTTTCTTTTAGCCCATAGTCCAGTGGTGGCAAACCTGTGGCAGTGCCACAGTGGGCTGTTTGAATCATTAAAAGCTCTAAAAGGTTTGCCATCACAGCTGTAGTGCTTAAAAATAGCTTAGGTACATTTTGGATATTGATTTAATTTTGGTGTGTGTGTTTTTCAGTTTGGATTTTTAGGCTTTTTTGTTTTTAGTCCGTGTTTGCAGTACGTAATGATTCCATTCCTTTTGGGGAGTTGGTGTGTATATGTAACACATCTTAATTCCCTTTGCCATCCCTTTTCCTTCCCCTCCATCCTCCTCCCACCTCTTGATCCTCTTCCAAAGATCTAGCTTCCAACTTTCTATTATCCATCTTTTATTTTACTCTTTATAGTTTGAGTTTCTCATGTAAGAGAATATCTCATGATATTTAAGCTTGTGTGTCTGACTTATTTCACTTAATATTATCATCTCAAGATGCACCCATTTTCCTATAGATAACTCAGATTTATCTTCTTTGTGGCAGAGTACTACTCTGTTATACATAAGTTCCACATTTTCTTTATCCATTCAGCTGGTGATGGGCATGAAGAACCCTTATGAGATTCAGCTATTATGAGTTATACTGCTGTAGACATGAGTTTCCATGTACCACTGTAATACAATGTCTTTGACTCTTTAGGAAGATACCTAGAAAGGGAATATCTGAGTCAAATGTGATTTCTAGTTTTAGCTTTTTGAGGCATCTCCATTCTGATTGCAATAATGGTTGTACTAGTTTACATCCTACCAACAAGGTAGGAGGTTTCCTTTTTTCCCATGACCATACCAGCATTTCTTATTATTTGATTTCTTGATGATAGCCATTTTTTTCTGAAGTAAGATGGAATCTCATTGTTGTAATTTACATGTCTTCGTGTTTTTTCATGTGTCTATTGGCCATTTGTACTTCTGAGAAGTGTCTCTTCATTTCATTAGGCCATTTCTCAATTGAGTCTTTTATTTTGGGGGAGGTCTAATTTCTTTCTTTTTTCTTTTTCTTTTAGTTCTTTATATATTGTACATAGAAGTCCTCTGGCATCTTAACTCCCCATTCTCTAGGTCGTCTCTTCACTCTGCTGGTGGTTTCCTTTTGTGCAAAGAGCTTTTTCATTTGCTATGATCCCATTTGTTGATTCTTGGTACTATTTCTTGTGCCATTGGAACTCTGATCAGAAAGTCCTTGCTTATACCTTTGTCTTGTTGAAGAATTTTGCCTTTTTTATCTTCTAACAGATCATGTTTCTGTTTAAACATTTAGATCTTTGATCCAGTTTGATTTAGATACTGATTTAAGTTTGAACAAGATAATTTCATAAGGACATTGTCATTCACCTGACAAACGTGATTTGTTAGCTGGCCATGGTGGTATGCGCTTGTGAGGCTGAGGCAGGAGGATCACTATGAATTCAAGGGCAGCCTAGGCCTAGGTAGTGAGTTCAAGGCCAATCTGAACTACATAATGAAACCTGTCTCAAAAGTAAAATGTAATTTGGAAATGTCAAGACATAGTATACCCTGGGCCGGGGATTTAGCTCAGTGGTTCTGCCACTTGCCTGAAAAGCACAAGGTCCTGAGTTCGATCCCTGGTACCCTCCCCCTAAAAAAAAAGACATTATTATACCCTAATAGAAAAATGTTCATTTTTCATCAGAATATGTCAAAACAAGGCCAGGGCTCAGTGGTTCCACTCCCTGCCTCGCAAGTGCAAGGTCCCTAGTTCAATCCCTGGTTCCAAAAAAAAACAAAAACAAAAAACAACAAATAAAGTCAGAAAAATTAAGCCCATAAGAATATTTACATAGGAGTCCTGTATTTCTGATTGTATCAAAACCAAAGTAAAATTTAAAATTTTCAATGAATGCTTTTCCTATCGCAGCTATCATTGTGTGATGACTTGGTACATGTAAGTGAAGTCTGTAGTGAACTGTGTGCCCTTTGGAATCATGCACCGTTCATCTCTGTTTCCTTCAAATATTTTATGCCACAGAAAATCAAAAAGATCTGAGTAAATGAGAAAAACTGAGGAGTCAGGAGGGGGAACTAGTGTCACTAAGAAGAACTGCAGAGAGGTTAAGCTATGTGGTTTAATCAGATAAATATGTATCCTCATTAATACTTCCTGCCTAAAAAGCAGCCTGTTTAAATAAAGCTTTAAAAATATGTAGAAGCCTCTAACGCGGGATATTCAGGAACTTATCTGTCCGTTTCCTGTGACTCTTCAGTTCTGTATCACCACGGTGGAGATTTCAGTTCCCAGTCATTTGTGCTTCCTCGTCACAACTCTGCTTACTAAGAGCTGCATCTCAGCGGAGAATTAAAACAGCAGCCAGTTTCAAGTGGTGGAATGAAATGAAGAGGCTAATTTAGCCCACAAGATAAAACTGGAATTTTCTGAAATTATAGAATTTATGTGTAATTATGAAATCCAGACAACATAACTTTGGATTATTTAGTATCTGTTACTGTCACAGTTGACCATGTATTCTAAGTATTATGTTCTAAAATTTAGATGAAGTCATTTAAAATTTATGTTGGGGGCCGGGTGTGGTGGCGCATGTCTGTAATACCAGCACTTGGGAACCTGAGGTAGGAGGATCATGGAGAGTTCAAGTCCAGCCTGGGCTACACAGTGAGTTCCAGGTCAGTCTCAACCACATAGTGAGAACCTGTCTCAAAAAAACAGAATAAAAATTTTAAAAAAATTTGTTTATGTTGGCACTGTAGGGTCAGGAAAAAAAAAAGATTTTTTAGGTGCTAAATGTTAAGAAGAACAAAAGATACTATTTAATGGGATTGATAAGATAACTATAGGGCTGGGGATTGAGCTCAGTGGTGCTGCCGCCTGCCTCTCTGCAAGGTCCTGAGTTTGATCCCTGGTACCAGGGGATAAAAAAAAAAAAGAAGGTAACTATGAAATGTCTATTTAAGAATATATGTAAGGTTAAAAAAAAAGAAAAGAAAAAAAGACTATTTGTAAGGTTTAAGAAGTTTGTGTGAAAATTGGAAAACAGATTCAAGAAAAGCTTTTGCTTGAAGAGAAGAGAATAGGAGCCAATAGGGGGGAAATGAAAAGCTGAATTTAATTTGTGTAATATCAGAACCTTACCTGGGCATAGTGGTCCACACCCGTAACTGCTGCTGCACTCTGGAAGATTTAAAGCAGAAGGATGGCAATTTTCAGCCCAGCTTGGTCAACTCAGTAAGACTTGTGTCAAAAAAAAAATTTTTTTAAAGGGCTGGAGATTTAGTTCAGTGTGAAGGCCCTGGATTCATTCCCCAGTACTGAAGGAAAAAGTTGTCAATTTTCACTTTAGTTTTGGAGTACTGAGATAAAATATTCAGGCCTTTATTTCCCATGGCTTCCTGGAGGTGGCAGTAGAATACATATAGAATTTAAAACTGAATTTAGGATTTAATTTCATAGATATAGTATCAAAGAAAATCGTTCCAAGTACTTATTTTTAAATGTATACTTTTCAGATATAGTATACATTTTAAGTTTAAAATGTATAGATTTAACTTGTTGTCCATTCATGATCCAGAAGGGAAATCATTTTATCAATTTTTTTTCCAATTCTATGGTAAATACCCTTGAAACAAATTTCTTAATGCTCTAGGCCTTCAGTTTTTTAGCTTCTATTTGCTGTAAAGTTATGAAGCTAAGTCATGCACATATTACCATCTGCTAAAAAATTACAGTGTCTTGATTTTTAACATAAAATTATCCTAATCACAGTTTACAGATTTTAAATTAAGAAGGCCTGTTAGTGGCCTTGCTATTCCAAGCGTAGTTGCTAAAACAGCAGCTTGTTAAAATACAGAATCATGGGCAGCACCCCATTCTACAGTTTCACAAGATCACAAGGTGGTGATCCATGTGGACAGTGACATTTACGAATCCCTACTTCAGTGTCTGACAAAATCCAATATGAACTGCGCTGTTTCACATGTTGATAGCAGAAATTTTACTGTATTTGAGTTGTTCTTAGCCACCATTATTGTGTTAAAGCCGCTGTTAGCCACTTATGAAAATCAGGAATTCAGAAACATTGTTGAAATATTTTTCAGATTTCTCTGTAAATATCAGTGTCTTAGTATAATTTCATATGTGCTGGCCAGGCATACCACGCTGAGTAAGTTCCTTAAATCATACATTTGTTCTACTACCGCAGAAAATGGATTGTCCTATTAAGAGTAGAGGGCCGGGGGTTTGGCTCAGTGGTTCTGCTGCCTCCCTCACAAGTGCAAGGGCCCGAGTTCAATCCTCGGTACCAAAAAAGAGTAAAATTTTTGTGCTAGGCATATAGCTCTTGAGCACACTTGCCTAGCATGCCCTGGGTTTCATCCCCAACACTGCAAAAAAAAAAAAAAAAAAAAAAAAAAAAAA